TCTCTGAAGTAAAATCAATCCCATGTTAAGAAATTATGGACAAAATTAAAGTTTGATTGGAGTCAACGTGTAACGCAGATTCATTTTTAATATAGAATTGACGACTTGAAGTCATAATGTATGCATGCTCCAATATCATATTAAAGCATCTCGTAAAAATATTAAACTAAAAGATTCATAAACCATTTTACATATATTATATTGTCCATGAAAACATGTGTTACAAGAATTTCTTACAAAAATACCAAATTTAGAGGAGGTGGTGGTAGGAGGGGGGGGGGTGGGGGTGGCGAAGACTAGAACAATCACAAAAATGTTACATATTACTACCAAGCAGTCTAACCATCTTCTCATATGCTAGTGATATTGATGTTTGTGTCAACGTATATATTTTCTAGCAGTTAGATAATGTGACACTCTTCTTACTTCGTCTGGCTAATGTAACTCGGTAATTAGTACATGGAGTTAAGGAAAGAATCCAAGACTGCCGAAGGGAAAGTTCGAGTCAATCTCTTTTGGAGCAAATGGAAAGTCTAAACCAACGACGGGAGAGTTTATACCCGAAGATGTAACTGAGGAAGTGAATGGAGTGATCACTTCAGATTGTGTGGCGTGAGCATTGTGGTTTCCTCCATAATTGCTCGTAAGGGTAGGTGAAATCGCAAAATAGTTTGATTCAGAAGGTGTAGGAGACATGAATGTACCCAAAACGTAGTTATCCATCATAGCATTAGGAAAGATGTAACTCTCGGGATTAATGCTTGATGGTGAAAGGTTGTTGAAGTTTTGAAAAGATTGGTTGTTAGTATCTGGGAAGATGTAATTTTCAGGTAATGTTGGAGTTGGATTTGAACTAGAAACATGGTTGCATGTGTGCTCTCCTATGTAAGTGATTTCGATAACCGTTGGATCGTTGTTGGATCTTTGAACTTTCTTCGTAGCTATGCAACCTTTACCACGTCCATGTGAGCATCGATAATAGCCTCTGTAAGTGACAAAATCAAATATATATGAGAACCAAGAAATTTAAGAAAAGCACATTAGTTCAGAAGCCCTTGTTCGATTATCATTTTTTTTGAAAACTCATTTTTTTAAAAAAAATTATTTTCAATAACACATTTCACAGTAAAATATTTTGAACGAAAACCCAAAATTTTTTCTTATTTTTTAAACACAGATTTTCGATCTTTTCCTACCTCGGATATTTGGCTCCAAGGATGTCTTTTTGCCCGTATTTTTTCCAACTATAGCCATCATCAAGCTGTTCTTCCAGTCCTGTCCCTGGACATAACTGAACTTTCTTGGTGGACGTAGGCATAGCCTTTCTGCAATATTGCGATGCAAAAATTAAGATTCAAACATAGTAATTTGTAATTGTGCATTACAATGGGCATTGCATGATAAAATATTGACCTCTTCCTAGTTGTGTTCTGATATTCCTTGAATTCTCGATCAAGATCATCGCCATCATCATTGTTGAGCATCGATAAAGCTTTCTCATACGTATTTTTGATTCTCTGAATCAAGAATTCGCAAGTTTCATCTGAAGAAGACGAAGTATTGAGACTAATCTGTAGCTGCTTAGCCAGTTCTCTCCCTTGTGTTAGCTCATTCATCAGATTCTTCAACTCCAAATCTGCTGAATTCTCCATTTGCGAGCCAGAGGAAGTGGACAAGACTAACAAAGGGATGCAAACATGGGATTATGCTAGCAACCTAGGAGATTGTAAAATACCAAAAAAAAAATGAAACTATTGACATTTTTTTGGAACCATGTAAATTTAGGTGAAAATGATCAGATAAAAGAAAATGATTATTTAGTGGTTTAGGACTGGGTTTTTATACTTCTCTTTTGAACAGCGAAATGGAGGACAGACGAGGAAATATGAGGACTAATCAAAGTTTGACCGAGCAAATGTAGAAAGAAGTCAAATGACAACTAACTAATGTAAATCCCGCCAAAGAACAACTAACTATTGTTCCTTGGTCGCCAAAGTTTTTGGGTTTCTGACATCTGTCAAACTTTTATAACAGGAATCTTAATTTAGCCTGATCTCAAACTTGTTAGAACAGAGTGGGGGAGTTTGACAAAAAATTTATCGATTGAACACTCGTCAAATTTTTATTGGTTTTCCAGACAAAAAAATACACCATATGGTGCCTGTAATAATTCCCGCAATTATAATCTGGACTTTACACACCCACTTGGACACCTCTAGTGAAGAGGGATATATATATCTTATGCTATAAGTAAACTTAATAGAAGAAACCGCTTCTTATTTTACATGTAATTGCTATCTTATTTTTAAATAAATATTTTCTTGTAACCTTGAAAAAAATATTTATTTTAAAAGTTGTAAATTTACTTATAATTAGATCAACAAAATAAATATGTAGAAAAAAAGAGTTTTCAAATAATGATTGTCAAACAAGTATTAGGTAACTTATGATTGGTAAAAAATTACATTAAACTCAACAAAAGTTTTGAACCCACGTCAAGATTTGTTAAATTACTCATTTCAATTTAGATATGTTACATTAATTTTTTTTTACTACTCTTGAATCAATCTATGCACACATCGTATTAATCCTTAATATTATTATTGAAGCTCGTTGAACGATGATTATTTTTTACTCATGATTAGGGCGATGACAGTATTTTTACGGGTATGTTCATCGGCAAAAACATTTTTATCATGAAATAATAATTATTATCGTCTAGAATAGAGGTTTCTTTCATTTAGAAACCAAAATAAATGTTGATTTCCGATCTATATATTAATAGTATGTTGGTCTTCAGTGTGTAAAAGGTAGCAAGTTGATTCCCATTACTTCAAAATTAGAAAAACCCAGTTATGGAAAATCTCCGACAACATTCTTCCGCTCACGAAACTTTTTCAGATGTTTGAGAAGAAGCGTTTCAATCCTATTATCCTAGCCGGTGTAAAAATAATAATAATCCCTTTGTTCGATTTAGAGTTTAGACATCAAGGTTCATGTTTTTGGAAAATTATTCCTCATGTATGCGTGAAAAGTTTTGGTAGTACCCATGGAAAGATAGAATATCATCTCGTGAACATAACATTAAGTTACCAATGTAACTCCAAGGGTATCGACCACTATTATGTGACCTCATAATAGCATATCTCACTTCGAATTTTTTGACACTAATCCATTTTAAAAGGCAAGATTAAGTTCATAAAGTTTGATATGCGAGAATCAATTAACATAGATTTTACACGATTTTTATCAATAAAAACTGAACATGTGACTATAGTGAAATATTGAGGATCAACTTGTTTCCTTCTAAAGATTAATGATTTACGTGTTATTGGAGCAGAATAAGCTCAAGACTATTAGTGCGACTTTTCCCTTTCTTTTTTGTTTTCAACAGAAATAGAAGTTTCCAAAGAAAGTCAAGGTTCCTTTTAAGGAAATAAAGAATAATATGGGAAATAAGTGTGAATAGCCTTTTAAAACAATTATATTTCCAAAAATGGTCTTTGACCATTCTAAATAAACGAAACTACCTAAAATACCCCAATATAAAAACTATAAAAGATTTCATAGAAACCCTTAAGAATTCCACTATAATTTTATAAACCTTTAATTTTGGATTTATTTGATTTTAGATTTATTTGATTTTTGTTCACTCATAGAATTTGAAGATGAAGAAATCAATTTATACTATAAAGAAAAGTATGGATCATCATAGAAATTGGCCACTTTTAAATAAATACTTATCAGAAAATATTAAAAAGAATTAGATAAAAAATTAAGAACTAAAGAAGCTTTAATAAGACATAAAACGGATATATGGTTACAACCAGAACAAACTATAAGAGAGAAAAAACTTATACAAGAATTAAAAGGAAAATGACAAATAAGAATAAGAAAATATTATGAAGAAATAAT